ACTTGCCATGAGAACCCCATGAACTGTATAAAAAAGAAGTCTGTCCCTCGCCACTCCTAAAAACAGGGAAAAGCTCTTGCTCATGTAGCTGCGTTTCCCCCAGCCCCCTTCCTCATCCAGGTTTCTGGACTCAGGGGGCAAGCTAGTGTGACGTGGTTGTTAACACCTTTCTTCCTGCCCTATGAGCCCCCGGGGAGTCTCCACCTCACACCCGCCTGTTTCCATCCTGACAGCGGCTCTGGAATGAGGACAAAGCCTGGGGACTGTTCCAAGCCCTGGTAACGAGCAGATTTATTGCACATAAAAAGATGATTACCATTCAAAAAATCAGATTGTTCCCAGATGACATAAAGTCATGTTCTTCTGACCTTCACTTTGGAGGACATACAATCTTTATCCTTTATGGGGAAGGGGGACCTATCACAATTTTTTTTCAAAGTAACTTTTAAGCCTCTTTACAGAAACACACATAGCATTCTGCTGATAGATCTTTCACAACCAGCTATGATGGGGGTGGGGTGGGGGGGATGGCCTGGTGGAAAGCATTTGCCAATTCCTGTGGTATAGATACTCCCACCGAGGCTTATGTCAGTTACCCACGTGACATCACTGAATGTGGAGTTCAGAGGTTTGCATGGTAGCACACCGTTACAAAGTATTTCCACCATACAGAGGCGATGTTGCTGTCTTTCAGCCGCTAAATCATATCTGAGTCTTTGCGATCCTTTGAACTGCAGCACGCCTGGCCTCCCAGTCCCTCACCATCCCCCAGAGTTCACCCAAGTTCACTACTGAATCCGTGATGCCACCCAGAGAAGGTGGGGATGGTAAGGCACTACTCCGAGGCAACACAGGCAAACACCGTCAAGAGGAGAAATAACAGCGAAACTTTTAAAGAACTGTGAAGTGACGAGTTTTAGCGAAACTTTTAAAGAATTGTGAAGTGACGAGTTTTCAGAGTTTTAGTTTTGTTCTTTTTTTAAATTTTATGTTACTTCATTTATCTATCTATTTTCTGGATCTCAGTACCCGGACCAGGGATCGAACTCAAGCCCCTGCAGTAGAAGCTAACCACTGGTGCCCCAGAGAAGTCCTAATCTTCTTTTGAACATGAATGATTTCCCTGCAAGTTTCTTTAGATTTTCAACAAACCAGCTCACAAAATTCCTGATGAGGTTAAGGGTTGGCTCTGGAGACCCGGCGCGTGCTTGCGCAGTACACTGGCTGCAACCACCGTGAAGCTGCTCACGGTCACCAATCATAGTCCTTTCCAAGGATGAAGGGGAACAGGAGTGAAGTCTGAGTCCAGTGGCTCTCGCGGGGGGGGTGCTACCCCTGCCCCACCTCCAGGAGACGCTGGGGACTTCTGGGGACACTTTGGTTTTCACAAAGCAGAAGGAGATGGCAGTGGGGATATAGTGGGTGAGTCCAGCAAGGTTGGTACATATTTTTCCACGCACAGGACAGGATGCCACAACGAAAGATCTAGAGCATCTCCACGGTGGAGAAACCCTGACTCCTCTTATCAAGCTGCAGTCCTCCGCATCAAATACGCACTGTCAGTTCTGTGTAGATGACCGTGAAGAGGCTCATAGCTAAAGAATTCCATGAATGAACCAAGTAAGCATAACTTCTCCTCCCGTGCACTTACCACTACTCCAAGAGAAGGTAATATATCGTTGGTGTAAAATGACAAATTCAAACTAACTCTCAAGCTTAAGGTTTAAAATTATAATCCCCCAAACTACTGGCTTGTGAAATCAAGAAAAAAACAAAATTAGTGAGCTTCCTAATCTTTTAGAATCCCTGAAATAAGACCTCAGCACTACCGAGGCGTTTTAAAGAAGAAATACACACACAGCTGCTGCAGCTGGCACCCTGATCAACTCGATTTCAAGAGCTGTTTTTGACCAAACACCAAGTCCTGGAAGACTCCAGTTTCAGACAGAGTGCATGATACGTGGACCACCGGTGAGTGTACACGGTCCATCTGGTACCAACTTTGGAGAATGGATTTTGCTCGTTGAGTCCTAACTGCATGTTCCGTGCATCACACCCATAGCTTGTCATCAACCACGGCGGGAGCATCTGGCCCATGGGAACCAGCAAACCTGACAAACCAGAGCCTCCAAGAATCTGTTGTTAAACAGTTACCAGCACACCACTGGGCCAACATGCCCTGTCTCATGTTATATGAATGTGTGACTATAAATCAATATGAACTATGAATGCGCACACACAGGCACAGGTCTCTCTTGTTCAACAAAACAAAATTCTAAAAACTTCCCACTCTTGACCTGGAAGCTTAGCTTACTCTAGATTTTGAAAAGTTATTAATAACAAGCTCGTGCTATATCTTTGGGGATTTCCTGGTGGCTCAGATGGTAAAGAATCTGTCCACAGTGCGGGAGACCTGTGTTCAATCCCTCGGCCAGGAAGACCCCATGGAGAAAGGAATGGCTGTTGTCTTTGCTCTGAAAAAGACCTGCTATTATTATGACAAAGGTTAATTTGTAGAAAAAGCATTCAAGTCTCCTCTTAAGGAAAAGCAATGCTGAATCAGCCAAAAGGAAATGGGTGCACCGAATGTGTGAAAATAGAATTGATCTCAATGAACTTATCTACTGTTGCTCACAAAATATATGGAGTTCTCTTCTAACTGCATAATTACTCCAGACACCCAGGAACATTGGCTACAGAGGTTAAAAATATGTGTTAAACACACCTTTTGGCCAAATGAGCTATTTCAAAGCCAACTGTGGGTTTTGAAAGAAAAGAAAGTGTTAGTCACTCAGTCATGTTCAACTCTTTGTGAAGCCACGGACTATAGCCAGTCAGGCTCCAGCATCCATGGGATTCTCTGGGCAAGAACACTGGAGTGGGTTGCCATTCCATTCTCCAAGGCATCTTCCTGACCCAGGGATCAAACCCGGGTCTCCTGCATTGCAGACAGATGCCTTACCATCTGAGCCACCAGGCTTTGAAGGCGTCCCAGACATCTAGCAGTCAACAAACCCCAGCATCACATAAAGTCTATCCCACCTCTGCCATTCTAGGTTGAAAGGGGTCACTGCTGAGCACAAGGAGCCTTTCTCTGATCTTGTGGGAGCTTTCCACTGAAACTCACTCTCCCAATTCAGCCATCTACAATGGAGGACCTAAAACACGTACACAGTGGGAGATGAGGGGGTGGCATGTCCACTGGGCTGGAGCCTCACTGATGATGGCTCCCACCCTCCCCATGAGGTTCTGACCAAGCCAGCTAGTGGGTTGTTTTGGGAACTCCGGGCTTGTGACCCCAGCTGAGGAGTCAGGTGGTCAGAGCCACGTGCCCCCCAGGCTGGAGTCCAGTTCGCAGGATGCTCCTCCAGGGAGCAGGGCCCACTTGGGCAGGACCTCTTGGGTTCTCCTCCTGGAAGCGATTCTCTATCTCTAAAGGTCTTACCTCCCAGAAAACCCCGTAAATGTTAGGAAACACTCTGAAAATTCTCCTGAGACCTTCAGGAGTTCTCATGATTCTAGAAAGCTAGAATTTTCAAAAAAGAACCTCTATTTTTAAGTGGGGAAAGACGACTAACTACAGTATAAGTCGTTGCATACTAGAAGAAAAGGTAAGAGAAACTGAGGACAAGGACAAGCCCAAAAAGGTGAGCTTGAAAGAACTCTGGCAAATACAGAAATGTTTTCTATCATTTACATCTAGCGCCCTCTGGTGGATTCGGAAAAGGTCCTACGTTCCCACATTTCATTTATCACTTTACAGACTCTTAAAGGAGGAATCTCAATAATAAATGCATATAATTCAATGACTGCCTTTATGGAGTTTTACTAAGAAGCTACATTCAGGAGTTCTGAATTATTCACTCAATTTTTTAAGTTTACTGAAAAAAATATGATGGGATAATCAAACATGATTCTTCCTCTATAAGTCACTAACAACATTTGAGATGGCAAATTTATTCTTGGAATCGATGCAAAGTATTCACATCTAGCAACTGCCAGTGGGTTGCGTTCAGAGGAAAAGCCAGCTAGCAACTGACATTAAACACCTGCTTTCTCATCTACCCTAAGGCAGGTCAGGACAGGGAGGTCTCTCCCCTGACATATGAAATAATAAATGCCACTTGTGAGGAGAGAAAGTACAGCCACACACTGTACAAAATTCTGACCTGCTTTTATTTCAAACAAGGCACTGGACTTGGACAATGCTCTTATGACGTCACAGAACACTGATGACCCATTCCACCAGCTCTCTAGGAGCATCCCTTTTGATGCTAAGATGGTAAATACTGAGCAAAACTGCTGTCTTTCTGTCTCCTGCTCTGGCTTCCCAGGTGACTCAGTGGTCAAGAACCCACCTGCCCATGCCGGAGACCTGAGCTCCATCCCTGGGTCGCGAAGATCCCTGGAGAAGGAAATGGCAACCCACTCCAGTGTTCTTGCCTGGAGAATCCCATGGACGGAGGAGCCTGGCGGGCTACGGTCCATGGGGACACAGAGTCGGACACGACTGAGCAGGCAGGCAGGCAGGGTATATATGCCCAGTGGAGGGACTGCTGGGTCAGATGGTGGTTCTAGTTTCTAGTTTTCTGGCAGCGAAGGGCGTTCGCTGTAAAAGGCCAGAAGGGGAACAGGTGGGGAGGGGACGAGGGGATGGAGAAAGGCATTATAAGCTTTGTAAATGCTTTGGTGTCTGCATTAATATAACTCCTAGGTTATTTTCCCCTTCTATTTCATCTAAATACATTCCCTTGCTTTCTTCCCTAATGCTTATGGTAATAACTCTGGTAAATCGCATTTGTTTTACTGAGAAATAATATAAATATTGCTGAAAGTTGACTCAGCGATGCTCGCTGGGGAAGCACCGCAGCGTCTTAGAGGGAATTCCCAGAGTTAGGAACCTTCGCAGCGCTTTGTAAACCAGCCTTTGGGAGTTCACAAACTGCTACGCGGAAAAGGTTCGAACTCCCCACCCCCTCCCGCCCCCCACGCGGACTTACCATCCTTTTCCCCCCAGCCCGGCCACTCCGCGGGTCCAGGAGGACGCCGGACGCTCGGGCTCTCCGGCGAGGCCGCTGCGGGTCCCACGGCGCAAGCAGGTGCCTGCGGGAAAACAGTGGCGAGACCTCGGTGAGACTCTGCTGCGCGAGGGGGGCTCCGGGGAACCCCGCCCCCGCCGTCGGGGACCCACCTGCACACCCACCTGCGCCAGCAGCAGCACCCAGAGCGCCGCGCGGCCGAGGACCCTTACAGCCCAGCCGCCCTGCGCGCCCCGCGCCCGCCGCCCGCGCGGCGCCGCCGCGGGGAGAACGCACGGCTCCATCCAGGGGCGCTCGGAGGGGCCGGAGCCGCGGGAGGCTCCCCAGCCCGGCGGCCCTGCAAAGCGGGCGCCGAAGACCAGCCCGGCCGGCGCTCAGCACGATGTCCCGCGGTGGATGCGCCGCCCGCGCCGGGGTTATTACTGCGGCTCCGCGCCGCGCGGGGGGCGGAGTGGCGGCCGCGGGGGCGGCGGGGGCGGCGGCGGAGCGCCCGCCCGCACCGTGGGAGAGACGGGGAGGGCAGGAGAGGGGAGGGGACGGGGAGAGGCAGGAGAGAGCGCGGCGGGGTGGGGCGCGAAGAGAGGAGGACCCGGGAGAAGCCGCGCGCTCCCGGGCTCGCAGTCGGCGCGCCTGGCCGGCCGTCCCGTGGGCACGCGGGTGGCCGGGGCGGGGGGACGGGGGCGGGGGCGGTGAGCCGCTTGGGGACACCCGCCTGGAGCGCTCCTGTCTGCAGTCCGTGGCTGAACAAGGCTCGCACCTCGTGGCGCGACGCCTGGGCGCTTCCCGGGCCCCACTCCCGAGAGCCGGGCTTGCGCATCCGGAGGCCGACACCTGCCACCCGCCGGCATGCGGCGGGACAGCGCCCCCTGGTCCTTCCCTCCCGCCGCGTGGCGCCATCGGGTGTGAAACAGGAGTGCCCAGACCTTCTGGCCTATGCGTGCGTCTGAGAGCGGAGGACGCGAACGGGCGTCGCCCGCCGGCCGGGGAGGCGCTGCGGGTGGGGGAAGCTCCGGTCTCCGTCCCGTTGGCCCTGGGAGGTGCTGGGGCTCCCGGCTCCGGGGGTCCTGGCCGCCGCGGACTGGCCTTGCTCCGAGCGCCTGTCCCGGTGCCGCTGGGGCCTTACGTGCAGCCGATAAGGGAGGCTTTGGCTTCGCGGGTGGGTAGGGGCCCGGGCCAGTTTCTGCGCTGCTGTGTCAGTCGCGCTAGGGGGCTGAGGACGCGCGGCCACCCGGCCGCCTACCGGGTTCTACATCTGTTGATGGCCCTGTGTGTGAACGCACGTGTGTGCGTTTGAACGTGAGCGCACACGTCCCTGCGCGGGGTGTACGTAAATGTGTATTAGTACCAGTGTCTGTGTCCTTCCCCCATGTCCGCCGCAGTGCCTGTGTGCGCCCTGGAGCCTGAGCGCGCCGAGTCCCCGGCGCGTGTGCTGCCTGTGACCACTCTGTCCCACTCACTGCTGCTGGCCTCCTAGACCTCTTACCTCCTGAGGGTCGCCGGAGTCTGTGCCCTGCTTCGTGGTCCCAGGGCCCCGCACATTCAGTTAAGCCCGTCTTGGCCGGTTTGTGCACATTTTGGAGAGGAAGTTGGTGGCAGTGGTCTCTGGACCCCTTTGCTCGGCTCGCCCTGAGCCCGTGGCTGCCTCTGACTTCTGGCAGCCCGGCGGTGCAGGCTTGCTGGGCAGACACGAAGCACCCTCGGGCTGTGAAGGGCCGGCTCTGCCTCCATCTCTCGCTCTCTTTCTCCCCTCTTCCTCATATTCATTTATTTGAAAACACTCTTTAGAAGTGGGAGAAATTTTACAAAAAGTCTTGCACTGGGAAGTGGGCTTATGCCCCTCCCCGCCCGCTCCCCCACGAAGTTCCTAACTAGTGTCTACTTCAGCCATTCCTCCTGGGGCTCACTGGGGCTGGCAAAGGTTCTGCAGGAGGCAGAGAGTCCCTTTGTCCTGAGGACTGGGCATTGCACGCCTGGTAAACAGGGGATCTCTAATTATCGCTAATTGTGTCAAAGGTAACATTCAAGGGCATCAGCTTTTCCAAGTCTAACTACCATCACGTGAGCACACCCATGGCTCTCTTTCTGTAAGTTCATCAGATGGAATGAAAGAAGAACGGCCAGTAAAAAAGGATTCACTTTTGGAATTCTTTTATTCCCCTTTTGGAATACAACCAAAATCCATCTTTCGTGTCGTGAAGAAGTGATAGCGATATCCTTTACATTGATGAAGGTTTCCCAGATGTTTTAGCCCCTCACTGAATCCAGTGCTCATCCTAGATGACACAGATGAAGGGCATGCACCAGCCTGGGTACGAGGTTGGGGGCTGAGAGGAAGGAATTGGATGGACTGGATAGAGAAGGGTCACAGAACACATGGAGCCCATTTGTGATTTATAATAAGATGTGTGTATTTGGTCTCTTCCAATTTCTGGCACAGAACTCCCCAAAATTGGAATTTCCTGAGTGCTGAGAGCAATGTAGTTACCTTTCGGTATGTTAATGTGGTGGCTTTACACCCAACGGGAGACCAGTTGCCCAGGGATCTAATCCTGTATTTGCGCTGTGCTGAGTTGCTCAGTGGCATCTGACTCTCTGTGACCCCTTGGACTATAACCGGCCAGAAGCTGCCATAATTCCAAGAATTGGCCTCAAAGAAATGGGAACCAACAGACCCCGGAGCTGAAGATTAACTGTACCTAAAACAATGAAGATGATGCTGATCAGACCACTGGTGACCAATTTCAAGATGACTGTCAGAGCTGACTGTGCTGTTTCTGCACATAGTCCCCTTCTGTCCAGAAAACCTCTTGTCCCACTGGTTGCTAGTGGTGGGGGGAGTCAGCATTTGGACAGATGTCCACCCCACCCCACCTACAGTTGCCCGAATCAGAAGTAAAGCAAACTTTCCTTTCCACCAACCTGGCCTGTTTATCGGGTTTGGGCAGTGAGGAGCCCGACCCCACCATACCCCTCTCAGTACCCTGACTGGTAAATGCTGGTCATCTTGTCTGTCCAGGCGGCTGTGTTTGGCTGTCCTGTAGCCCTGGGCCCCGGGTCCCCCCTCAGGAATGGAGAGAAGGGGAGGTGAGGAAGCGCACCTCTGCAGACTTCCTTTTCAGGTTTTGTTTTCTGGACTTTGGCAACTTTGTAAAATTAACTGGAAAGACTTCCAAATGATTTCCTTGCTCTGGAACATTTGGAACACGTGGCAGTTATCTGGGCCTCCCAAGTATGCTGAATCATTCTAGAACATAAGCGTTTTCATTCCCAGTGTTTTTTCCATCTCTGCCTCTGGAATTCACCTGACATGTACCCTATCTGGGCTTTCCGGGTGGCGCTTGTGGTAAAGAGCCCACCTGTCAATACAGGAGATGTAAGAGATGCAGGTTTGACCCCTGGGTCGGGAAGATCCCCTGGAGGAGGGCATGCAACCCTCTCCCAGTGTTCTTGCCTGGAGAATCTGGACAGAGGAGCCTGGCGGGCTACAGTCCTTGGGGTTGCAGAGTCGGACATGACTGAGCAACTAAGCATAGCAGGGTGTTTAGCGTTTAGATAGGTCAGTATAGAGTTTAGGTAACTCGGATGTTACAAAATGACAAAAACCATTATTGAAAAATAAAAGGTATATTTGTGTGTATGTCTAAGTAAGGTTGATAAAAATTCTACTCTACAGGTGAGATGACTATACTCTAACATACACTGCTTTCTTTGTAACTGAATATCAGGGAATTAAGGTAAAATCCCTTTTGAAAAAGTGAAAGTAAATACCGGTGATAAAAATAACAAGACGTGGGAAGAGAAAAGTAAAGACATTTTTAGTATTTAGAAAAGTAAAGAGATTTTGAATATTTAGAGAACAGCAACAGAAAAATAAAAATCAGGCTTAGGTGTGACAACGCAAGATATAAAAAAAATCAGTATACACGATAAATTTGCTTATTATAAAACAAGATCTTAGATTTTGTTATGGAAGTAAAATTCGGTCATGTATTCTTAAATGTACACATGCACTGCAAAGGAAAACTGGAGAACTGAATGAATTGTTATTTTCATATTAAATTATTTATCAGGTAAAATGGAGAATGCCAAAATAAGATGCTAGATGTGTTTCCTATCCTATAGGAGACTTCACTTTCCCATCTGTGTAATGGACATGAAAAAAATAGAACCTACTCCAAAAGGTTAGTATGAGAACAGAATAAGTGAATGTTTACAGAGAACTTAGAACAATGCCTGGAATGTAGAAACTGATATTTAAGTTTAACAGCACTTTAACTTAAATGCATTTTAGTGCACGTAAATGAAAAATAATGCGTATTATTTTAAAAAATAGAACAAATGAGGAAAAAAAAAACAGTTGGCAGGATCAGACTAGTATAGAGCAAATTCAACATGAGCATCAACATTCCCCTTGCTCCAACCGTTGCGTCCAAGCCCAGTTGATTTACATGGGAAATAGTTGCAGTGATCCTTCCAGAATAAAGATTGCATCTCTTGAACAGAGTTCAGTATTTCTGCAGCCCCAAGACCAAGAATTGCACAGCAAATCTGATGTGACAAATTGGATTCCTTTTTCCCATATCACGTCTCATTTGTGGAGATTTGGATAACTGGAAAAAACTGCGCATCTGACTCACACAAACTATGGGGAAAGAGAATCCAGTCTTTCTCTTTGCTAAAGGATCTGGGAAAAGTCTGGGTAATTCTCAGAGATGAAGAATGCCATCTATAATGTTGTGAACACCCCAGTTTGTGTTTAACTTAATGCCCTGGGTCAGATTCAAGTGGGAAACCATGTCTTGGACAACTAATTAACATCATGATTCTGTGATTGAGCAATTTTAGTTCAGCTGTCTCATTCTATCTTCATGAGATGAAAAAAAAAATACAACTTCTCAAGCTACAAAATTTCAAATTGGTAACCACATGACACTAATTTACAGATAGAGACTAGAGTATTTATTGGTACTTTATTAAGGTTGCTTTTATGAACAAAAAACAACTGTGGGTCTGTAAAGTCACTAAGATACAAAACTTTCCATTAACTCCTGATAAGTGAGCAATCCTATGTTTGGGGAAATTTGGATTTGCAATGACTACTTCTTAATAATGCAAATAAAATCTTCTTGCTTGCTGGCTTTCTTTACCCATTCCCTCAAAGGAACCAATGAGTTTGGTTAATGTCTCTAAAATATCTTTGAGTCACACCTCCAACGTGATAGGAAAGATTGAGGGGAGGAGGAGAAGAAGGGGGTGACAGAGGATGAGGTGGTTAGATAGCATC